TAGGCTTCGTGGCCTCAACCACTTGTTGAACACATGACATTTGTATTTAAAACAGGTTTGCCCATGTAGCATAAACACATGAAGGGTTTTGCGATGTGCTTTCGTAACTCCACACCCCTTCAAGTTCGCCATACCCACAAAGTTTGTCACCAATGGCTGATAGGAAAAAATCATGATTGGTTTGCGATACCTCCCACGGCCCTCATCACCGTGTATTGCCACAGGAATGCAATACCTATACTGAGACTCGTCGATTTCCTGAAACAAGGGGAGACCAGGGTCCAATAGTTCATATCTCTTCCACCAGTCATGGAGGATGTCCAAGAATTTGTCAACTGCATCCATTCCTTTTCCTCCAAGAAAGAAATGGCCGCCAAGGTCAAAGCTGGCCCGCATCCAAGAAGAAAGCGGGAGTGTGGGGAAGTCGACCAACTCTTCGTGCACCCTTGACTTGGTGACTGTACGGACTGGTGTTTGGACCATGTCAATTTGTACTGGGAGTCGTTTTCCACAGTTTCCCGCTAGACGATGAAACTGACGGCACGCATTACCAAGTTTCTTCTTCCTCTTTTTGGAGGCCAGCTTCGATAGGACATGTCCAGAAGCAATGCCTTAAGTTGGCATCGGCGCGGCCACTTTGAGGCGTGCACCAACATCATGGGTATATATATATATAATATTAGCTGAAGTACCATGTTTCTCCAACTGGCGGTGGACCACCCCAGCCATGTGGACAGCCCTGCATGCCGGGATGGACCCCATCTCCACAGATTGGATAAGCTCGTCAGCAACATCCTCCGATGAACCTGCATATCAAAAATTGACACATATAGGAAATGCTTGAACACCCCTTTTGAATTAAACCAGTTAATGTGTGTGTGAGAGAAAGATTGCATCTGCAAATTCAGCCAAAAAGCTTGTTGATAGATTTCCCTCCATCTCCCCTGCGGCAAGGTAAACGAAGAGTGACCAAGAACAGTGCCAGCTAGGCATGCAGAAAAAAAGACACGGCAAAAGACCCATCATTTTCCACCCTGATTGACACGACGTGTGCCAAACCTAGTTCTGATCCACAAGCGAAGGCCACCAGAGGATCACGGGTAAAGGCTGAGAAGACTATACTGTTCATTCAGGGATCTAGCATGGCATTCTTAGGCCGTAAGGTGGAAGTTGGGACCAAATGACCCTCCGGTCTATGCCAACAGAAGTGGTGGATACAGGTATCCAAAACTGAACTCTGTAGGCGGGCTGAACAGCCTACTCATCGCCATCATCCCGCTGGCGCTTTGCACCTGCCTTTGCCTTTGCCTTTCGCTTAGGCTTGGGCTTTGTACCACGGTTTGCGCCGCCAGGCGCGGACTTGGCTGACCCCTTGGCCTTGGCCTTTGGCTTCTTGACAGACCTGGGGACCAAGACCAGATCATTGAGCTAACGTGCAAATGGGTATATATATATGTATATGCCCTTAAATCAGTCGCAAACCATTTAAGGGTTTGGCTTGGCGCGAACGATGTAGTTGTTCAAAGTCACATCGAGCTTTGTGCAGCTAGTGAGAACAGGCTGCAGCTCGGCCTCGAAGTCCCTTCCAGGATCATGTTTGGGAAGAAAGCTGGCCATGCAAGTTCCATACGCCAGCCCCACAACCTATATCACAACCTATATATTGATGAACTTCAAACGGTTTGATCTCTCTTTGGTTGAAGCGTGGTTGAAATAAGGCCCACCTGTCCACATTGACCAATGACTCCGCTTGGATCTCAATCATACGCCTCTGCTGCTCCTTGAGCTGAGTCACCACTTTGGTAATCTGGTCGGCCATCCTCGGTGTCCAAGCCATTAAGAGTTTGCATCCTATAGTATTGAAACACCAAAGCTAGGCCACTCATCACATGGTTGTCGGTTTGCAGTCGAAAGGCTCGGTTGCCCGCGCTGTCCCCACGTCGTGTAAGTTCTCCTAGGCGCCCAGCAATCAACAAAAGGAGTAGCGCATGCAACAAAACAAGAGCTAGCTGGGTCAAAAACTTTCTCAGTGTTGTCCAACTTCTTGCTACATACGCAGCAACCAACAAAAGGATAAGTGCATTAATAGTGCCAGAACTAATCAATGCCTAGACTCCAAAACTTTTTCAGTGTTGTCCAACTTCTTGCTACATACGCAGCAATCAACAAAAGGGTAAGTATATACATGTATTAACAGTAAATAGTGCCAGAAGTAATCAATGCCTAGACTCCAAAACTTTCTCAGTATTGTCCAACTTCTTGCTACATACGTCCACGAAGCTGGGCAGAATGGACAGCTGTGATGCGTTTTGCTTCAAGCTCGGAAAGCATAACCTTCAGCGGTTGGCGGGCCATGGCACTTCGTGTGTTTGAAACATGTTGCACTGTTGTGCACGCTTGCTAGTTTTCCATTATCACCAAAAAGCTTGAACGATGACGATCCAGCCCTAGCTGCTTCATTCTTGGAAGACAAATCTTCCGTGCATGTCTTGTCGCACACAAAAGAGGCCGCAGCATCACTTGTGGTGGTGGCGTCAAACCCAATCCCATCCAACAAGTCTGCATCAGGGTCCTTCGCAGAAAAGAGAAAAGGGGAAGGGAGAGAATATGTACACTAGGTTGCAAACGTATGCAGAGACACGTCAGCAGCTGAAACCTGGCCTCTAGCTGGAAAGAACCTTCCATCCCAAGACTCTGACCATGCTCGTCCCGAAGAAGGAACTCATCATCTAAGACAAAGCAAATCTCTTCTTCACCATGAACTGCATTTTTGCGTTTTTTGCCCCGCTTTTCTGCCCACTCCCACGCATGGTCGATCATTTTCCTAGGCAGAAATCCAATCCCCAACACCCATGCTCACACAGAAGCCTTGCTGAGCAACTGCAACAACTAAGGATATTTCAACCCGAGTGACTTCGTCCAGTTGCGGTGGGTAGCCAACCAAACTTTGCTATACCAACCGCCCTTCTTCTCAAAACGAGCCTTTCTCAAAACCCATCGCTTCACGGAAGCCTCCACCACATTGAACGACCCATGCTTTCGGAGAAGCTCTCTGAGCTTTGCACCTGGGAATGGGAAAGGCCATGCGACTTGCCTAGCGGACAAGATATGCCAAGTGCCACAGTGCCACGTGCATCTTAATTAGCAAAAAATCATATCATTGCAAAGTCACAACCCGTTTGTGACTGGTACAATTCGAGCGCTTCCTTGGAGCACTTCAGTGTCCCATCAGCTCGGGGAGTGAAGTATCGCCTCATCCTTGGACAACTAGCTTTAGATATATATCTATAATATATATATATATATGCGTGCTAGATAATATATATATATATATTATAGTTGTTGACAGGACACACAAAACTTCATCACGTGCAACTGAAAGGCTTCCAGTAATTAGGGTCTGTTTTTGGAGCGGTAGCAGGAGGCAAGGGCGGGGAAGGCTTCTTGGTTGCAGGCTCAAGGCAAGGAGCAGCAGGTTCAGCTTGCTTGGGTGCTGCAGGCAAAGCTTCTGCTGGAGGTGTCAGTAAGGCAGCGTTTTCAGGCTTGGGCGAAGCAGGCTGAGTTTCAGCTGCATGTGTAAGTTCAGCTGGCTTGCACTCATGTTCATCCGGTTTGGGCAAAGCAGCTGGAGGTGTAGATTCAGCTTTCTTGAGCTCAGGTTCATCTGGCTTGGGCAAAGCAGGCAGAGTTTCAGCTGGAGGTGTAGGTGCAGCATTCCCAGGCAGGTCAGCAGGCTCAGTTTCAGGGAGAGGTGAGGGAGAAAGCTGCGTTTGAAGTGGCCGCACTGGTGAAGGTGTTGGGAATCCAGAGTTCCCACAGCCTTGTCCGTCCAGAGTGGGGAACTCATACTGCCACGTCACGCCCTGAGAACCCTGCGACAGCATGCTGGGGGAACGGCTGCTCAAAGAGATTGCAGCCGTCCCTGCACAGAACTGGCCATCTGCACGGGCAACGTATGGAGCACCTAACCATCCAGAAAGTGATCTATAATGATGCGCGCCGCGTGCCACAACTCGCAAGAGCAATCCCAGCCTTCTGGGTGAGGCTCGGGCACAGCCATCTTCTTGTCACACCCCAAGGCCACTAAACGCCTTTGAGCATCAGCAATCCTCTCCCTGGATGCCTTAGTCAGGCACACCATAGGAACACCATAGTATCGATATAGAAATTAGGAAACCGCAAGTAAATCCTAGTAGGCACACCATAGGCACATCATAGTATCTATATAGGTTCGAAATTAGGAAACTGCAAGTAAAGCCTAGTGAGGCTGAAGCACCTTGATTTGGGCTTCAAGGTCAGGTGATATGGCCGCAGCCTTGCCACCTTCCACCATGCCTATGCCTTCTACCAATGTTGCACACGAGTGAGCACGCGGGCCTGACAAATCACCATCCATATCCTATATCAAAATGGAGCCTGAAAAGCGCACGCGCAAGTACGCAGGTGAGCATAAATCCAAAAAGATTGCGTGCCTCCATACAGTAACCTGTCATAAGAACGCAAACTATACTTTTGAAAGGTGGGGCGGGTAAATCCCACTCCTGGCAAACTTAATTGAGTGCTAAAGGGCTGGTGAACCTAGCAACCCCTTTCTTTGATCTTCAGGAGCAACATAAAAACTTCAAAAAATGCACCGTCCGCCACTTTTTAAATTTGCGCCCGGGTTGCGGGAATTTGCGCCCAAGTTGCGGGCACCCTGTTTTGGACCTTAAGGTTAGAACCGAACCTTTGTGGTTTCATTTGCGGTTGGGATTGCATGTCTGGGTTGCCAGGTCACCCCAAAATCTAGAAACGGCAGGCTAAAGGCAGTTTTGCCTCTCAGAGTCTTCTTCCACGTTCTTCACCTGCAAGCCGGTGAGGTTTTGACAAAAGTATGGAAAAACAGGTACATAGAGAGGTTGCCTCATCTAAGAGTTCTTCTTTGAACCGCACCATTGTCTCCAACCAGGTTGCAGGAATCCTACAACAAAGAAATCAGGACTCCTAGGTTATCAAATCAATTAGCCAAGCAGTGCATTCCACTCAGTCCTCAGATGTTTGCTCTCAAACAAGTACAGGAAGGTTTCGTGGCATTTGGATTCATACCAAATATCCCCCAGCTGGAGCTCTTCGAATAGCTCCTTGTCCGACTTGCCTTTAGGAATCTTCGGCCGCGTGCGCAGGTCATACCTGGTTTCCGTCCTGCCATGCTGGTACAGCTCCAGCAGCCTTTCTCCAAAGGCTCTGGTGTAAGACCTGGGCACGGGGGCAACTGGGTCCAAAACGAGATGGTTGTATATTGAGGTATGGACTGCGATTCCTTTAGGTGGCTATTGCCTTGAAAGCGGGCATATCCAGCACCATCCACATACTTACCTAGGCCACAGTGCAAAAAGCCCTATCGAGTACAAATCTGTCAAATCAAGATGAGTCAATATAGGTGCCATCAACCAAATTATGCTAGGGTACGTGTGGTCTCCACCTTATGTTTTGCAACCTTTTCAGCATTGCTCAGGACACCCCTATCCAACGTGGATATCGTCCGTAGGTTACTCAGCATCATTGTCCTCTTAGGGCACTCTTTCCCGTAGTGCATAGCCCAGAAGTGCACTTCGTAAACCTAGGCTCAGATACTCTCATGGCAAGGCGTTATGAAACAGCACCACCAACACCTGCGAGCTAGGCAACGTAGGCCACTCTATTGAGTAGCCACTCCAAGCGCTTGTGGCGGGGCATCAAACTTTGAGAAGGTTGTTCAAGAGCAAAAATACAGTTGCAGGCCAACATTACCAAAATCAGTAGCACACACCTGAGACACCAGCAACTTTGTTGATAATAATATTGACACCCTGTCAAAAGGAATTGCAATAATATTTATCCAAACCACTTTGACGTCATCCGGTTTCCAAAGGCTACTGAGTTGTATGGTTGATGACCCATTGGGTTCACATAGTTCCGCAGGGTGCTTCCTCTAGAGACTGTGCTCCAAGACCCACATACTGGCGCCAGTACATTGAAGGCATCTGGCACTTCGTTGAGAATAGCCCAAAGGCAAAGCCTCAGTTGAAGAACCCTGAATTGGCAATGCCCCCTTTGGCTTTGCCAACAAATTAAATCTATAGATCCAAAACATTGTTTCTTCGATGATGGTGTGCTCCCCTTCCCAAGTGGCAATTTTCCGCTTACAGCTTTAGAGCTGGGTGAATTTCTTAGATTTTGGCAAGGTGACCTGGAGACCCTTTTTTATATCTAAAAAACGGGCCCCCAGGACACCTTGTTAAAACTGTGGAAAATTACCATTCCCAAGCAAGTGGAGGATTGGCGCCCTGAGTCATGCGATTTTTTGAACATATGGATTCCCCCTCCCTTCCATCACCCAATGAGTGAAGCAGCGCGAAGGTGGAGTGCTTCTCGAAGTCCATGCAGTCAGCATAGTCCAGGTCTACGCTGCAGCACCGGAATCCGTGATCTCTCCTGGGCTGGTCGGGGGCTCCACCAAAAGAATAAGGGGACTTGTGGACATCACGCGGGGTCGACGTTAGGCAAGACACCAAAGTTTGGTCACTTCCCCCTTGCCACTGAATAGTTCCAGGAAGTCAAAAGAGCCACTACTCCCATCAAAAGTCAAGTTCTCTTGCCACAAGAGCAAAAGAACCTCAGAGCGCAAGACTGTGGCCCCCCTTTCTAGCTTATATGCATACGCGGTCACCATCATTGACAAAAACTAGGCCCAGACAGTTGCCACCAGCACCTACATTTCAAACGATATCTTTCACGGGTTAGCAAAACAGATGTTGCACAGGTAAGAACTTTACAGACAGCTTAGGGTATCGCCTTGGGCGCTTGGACATGAAGAAGCCGTACCAGCACAGAGCTTACCATGGCTGGCATGGCCGGCTACAACTTGTAACTACACTAGCCTGACCCGTACCAGCTGCTTCATGCATGGACAACTGCCTGACCCGTACCGAGTACCAGCTGCTTCATGCATGGACGCTGCACAGCCGTGCATGCACAGAGGTTCACCGACCATCATTGGAAGTTAATGTATATATATATACACATGAGATGCCATATATGTATATAGCGAAGCTCATTGCCCTTCAATAGGTGAGAGACCTGCCATCCACGCCTTGAAGGCCTGCTCGCACAAGAAATGCCATGATCTTTGGGTGGCAGTCGGGTCAGCCACACCTGGCATAAGAATTGAAAAGCAAGGTGTCCAAAATATGCCCTGGTTGACCTCCGGTCAAGTCAAAAACGGACACCTCCAAACGAAGACGTGGCACATGAGGGTGCTCTTTTGGGGCCCCCAATTGACCCCTTTTGAAATCGAAAATACCGGTACTTGCAGACTTGACATGTTAATGAGGAGGATTTGGAGTTGCATCCGCTCCCAAACAAAGTTCTCGATCAGCTTCCTTTTTCACGCGCAAGCCAGGATCAGGACTTCACAGGCCCAGCTTGGGACGCAAATCATCCAGGCAGGATGGGCGTGCGATAGACAACCCCCGCAGCTATGTACAGGAATGATAGCTGCATCCCTGTCTCTCGCAAGCAACCTGAATTGCTACAAATATATGCTAGCTCATTCCTTTCCAGCAGATTGCCATCATTTGGTCATGGCATATGCCTCAGCGAGAGCAGTGGATCATGAGGACATACACCCACACATGCCACATATGCACACAGGAAAAGAAATCAGGCAGCACCAGTAAGTAAGTGCAGCCCAAAAAACTTGTTTTGCCCTTGTCCTAGCCTCAACCTCCCCATGGATTGGCAAAGCCTCCCTATACGCCTTGGCGTATGCAGTGGATTTCCGGCTGTTCCTGGCCTTTTGCTCAGGGGTTTGCTTGCGCTTTGGTTCTGGTTTGTGGCTCACGGCATCCTCCTTGTCAGCGTTCACCTTTGCCCCCCTTTGAGTGCTCCTTTGATTCCTTTAGTCCTTGTTCCCCACTCGGGGTCTGCTTGCGACGCCGTTTGCTGGTTGGTTCCGCCTGGTTTTCAGGCACAGCTGGTTCCTGCTCCTTGCTGGTGGCTGCTTTGTTTGCCGTGGACTGCCTCGCTTTGCGCGGCTTTTTGGGTTGAGGCTGTTGGTCGGCATGCTGTGTCTTCTCTTTTGGGGCGCTGCGTTTCTTTGCAGCAGACCTTGCCTTTACCTGGTTTCCCTTCTGGTTGGAAGCTGTACTCATTTTGCTTTGGTTGGAACCTTTGGTCTTCCCACCTTTACCTTCCTCGGCCTCCTCTTCTCCTTCACATTCCTCGGCCTCCTCTTCACCTTCACATTCCTCGGCCTCCTCCTCCTGCTCCTCTTCCTCCTCCTCATCATTCTCGCCCTCATCCTCCTCTGATTCCTCATCCTTTGGCTGTCTAGTGCTCCTTCCCTTTCCTCTGCCTCTACCCTTGGGTCTCCCCCTTCCTCGGCCTCGGCTGCTTGCAGTCAGCTTTGATTGCTCCGCTGGGCTGATGTGCCTTGTGCCGCGCATGGTCTTCACCGCTCGTGCCTTCAGGGAGCTCACACAAACAAATTACACAGGCAATGAATTCGTTACTTCCATTCACAGATGAACAGCTTTTGGGCCCATATATAAATTTGAGTAGTATGATGCATTGATGCGTGGCCTCCTCCTCAGTGGCAGGCTGCCATGCCGCATCTCCAGCGGAAGAAGGTGGGGGCATCTCAACCGGGGCGGCCTGGTTCAGTGAAGGTTCCTGGTTGGTGGGCTTTGCCAGTGTAGTAGTGAGCAACTCACTCGGTACACGATCACCTTCACTAACAGAAGTGCTGGGTTCCACAACCTTTGTAGCGGGCAGCTCACTCCCAACATGACCACCTTCACTAGGCACAGTGCTGGCCTTTCCAGTACTATCACCTTCATTGGGCACAGAATTGCTGAGTTCCACAGCGATTGTAGTGGGCGGCTCACTCGGGACATGACCACCTTCACTAGGCACAGTGCTGGGGTCCACAGCCTTTCCAGTACTCGGGACATCACCTTCACTAGGCACAGAAGTCCTGGGGTCCACAGCCATTGTGGTGGGCAGCTCACTCACGACTTGATCACCTTTGCTAGGCACAGAAGTGCTAGGGTCCACAACCTTTGCAGTAGTGGGCAGCGCACTTGATGCATGACCAGCTTCGCTAGACAGAGAAGCGCTAGGGTTCTCAGGTGGAAACAGCTCAACGGGGTCAAAGGCGAAAATATCCATAGGGCATGTTTCCACCGTGTCAATACCTTAGGTGCGTGCAGGTTCAAAAACATGCCATGTGTGTCAAACATATACAAAAGCAAATACGTATGCCATGGCACACTTGTTTGCCATTGCATCCTCCGTGATATGTTTTATACTTTTCAAGGCCTCTTGCTGTTCCAACAATGTGGTGAGGTTCCGAAGCTCCAGCTCCATTTCCAACAGAGCCTCGAGCTCAGCCTGCCTTTGATCAATTTTCTCCCCGGACATGAGAGAAGATGCGGAATCCATGCGGTCCACAAAGCCTCCTCAAAATCATGTTTATAAGAAACATATTTCTTGCTTCGCGATGCTCATCCTAGCTAGCTTCCAAAAACAGGCTGTGATGGAACTCTGCAACAAAAAAGCTGAGTAGCGTCTTGGCGGAGGTGTGACCATCTCCTCCACCAGCTTGGGGCCTTAGAGAAATTGGCGCGTGCGCGCAAACGAGGAGGGGCATATTTGCAAGTGCCACATGTATACAAACTAAGACATTGGCTAGAGCAAGCAGGCTTGAGAGCCACCGCTGGTGGGTCAAGAGCTCCCAAATCCTGAGGAGAGCATTTCAGGGCAATATTCTATGCGATCAGTTTCGACGTGTGTTTTTTGCAGGGGATTCCATATTTATGTTTGCTACTTAGGGTCGGTGTCAGGTGGAGGTGCAGTAGGCGCAACAGGAACTTGCTCTTCCATGTCTGTGGAGGGAACCTGAGCAGCTTCGGCCCGTGGAGCATGTTCCTTTTCCACATCTACAAGCACATCATCATTTTCAAATTCTTCCTCCTCCTCGCCCTCTTGTCCTTCAGCTCCTTCATTGAAACCTTCCTCCACATCCTCCTCACATTGACGAGAGCTACCACTTTCCGATCCTAAGCAGTGCATCGTTGAACCAATAGGTTACTGGACCCATACAAGCCTACCACACATGTTGAATCCAAAAGTCTCTCAGGGATGGGGATACCTGCAGCCTCAAACAGTGCACGTTGGCCATCACTTCGAGGGTAGGACCCACGCTTCGCCCACCGTGACCAGTTTGTTATGAGCATGCGGAGGTACCATCCGGTCTTCTCGACATCAGATCCTTGAGAACTCCATGCGTCAACATATATGCACACAAATCACATACAATGAACAAGAGCGCACAGTACTGTATGTGCATGGTACCACATGAGACAAGTTGCTGGTAGGACTCTTTTTCCCATAAGGCTTACACGCAGAAAACATGCGCTCCACAGCCTCCTTGAGAACATCAATGGCTGGTTTGAGTCCTCAGATGTTCAACAGTATAAGTACAGGGATTTGCATGGGGGGTCCAATCACATATTCTTCACAGCAAATATGCAGGCAAAGGTCCCAAGTGTTTGATTGTAGGCGCTAGCAGTATAGCATGAGCTTCTGCTGCCACTGGGCATATACCAAGCGCAGGCTGGACCAAATCTTTTGTCGCAGCACGGCCGACCAGGATATCACTCTCCATCCATTCCTTAACCAAGGGGCCAATGTCCACAGGCATGGTTGCTAGCGATTGCTGGCACAGATTGAGCTTGACAAGGCTGAAGCACAGAATGCATGTAGTTCACTGAACAACCACAGAGCATGGCATCAACATTGAACACTCTTTGACTGCAGCATTGCACAAACCAGACACTGCAATGCGCACATGCCCGATGACATGCAATGACTCCCACACAGCATCCCCAAAGCTGTCCAGATTTAAAGCGTGCCGTGCTGCACCTTACAGGGCAGCTTCTAGGGCAGCTCCATTGCCACACAGCCAGAGTCCAGAGCAACGTGGAGCCATTTGGCCAAAGGTAACAGCAATCCAAAAAGTAGAACTGTACAATATACGTTACATGGACATATGTCTATATATGTATGTTTGCGTCTTTGTTTGTTTTGTGAGTCGCGTAGTCCTGGTTCCATTTTTGGGTTCATATCCAGGATCTATTTAGTATTAGTTGACCCCTTGTGGCTTGATTGAACCTCATACTCCCCACCCAACTCCAAACCATGCCAAGGCTTGAAGCTGGAGCCGCGAGCACGCGGCCTGTGCACAGCACGGGCACGGAGAGGTATCAAAGGATTTCCACCCGGTCCCCAAAGGTATAGAAGGGTTGATAAGGTCACTGGTCTTTACAACACCAAAAAGCGCTCAAGTTTCCTGAAAAGTGTACATACCCTGAAAAAGCGCTCAAACTTCCAAAAAGTGCTCGAAACCATGGTTCGCCAGAAAAAAGTGTTACAAAGGATGCTCCAGGTTTGCTAGCATTTTCCACCACTAACCAGCCTCCCAAAAA